TAGGTTCCTGTTTAGGGACAAAGCTGCTCCAATACGTGCCACAACATGTTTGTGAGGAATGAAGAGAGATGCAGGTCATGTTGATGGAGAATAGGCAAATACAGATAATCAGCGGGTTTGCCCCCCATGTTTAAGTTGTCTTACTGGGGACAAATAAACTTAACCCAAGTAGCTGTTGCTGCGTCAAGGGAAAGAGTCTGTTGAGCTGCTGAAAACACGTTATCTCGTGCGTTCCGCCTCCATCCAGCTTGCTACACCATAATTTTACAATATCTAAGTCCTAGACATACAGTAAAAACATCAACATAAGCAGCAGTGACGTCAGAACCAGCAGCCTCTTCGTCACTCAACAACTCAGGCATTCCCAACATGAGTCAGTCAGTGTTGACATCACACAGGTTATTCTGAGCCTGAACACAATCTCATCTTTACTGTTACTTACTACTACGGGACTGAGTCAAAGGAAGCGGGAACACTGGGAAAACCCTCTAATGACTCATTAGGACTGTATAACACTCCAGTCATCTCCCTGCTGCCCCCCCAGGCAATACCTGGATCCACAATGTGAGGATATGTTGTTTTGCAATACCTGGGTGATGATTTAAAGGTATGTGTCTCTTTACCAGAGCCTATGTTGTGCATTAGCATTGCGTACTACTCTACCTGATCTTTAAAAAAAAACATTGGAAAAGATTTGAACCTTTGACTTTAACTTTGGTCTTTTCCTCCTTCGGTCAACACAAGGAAGAAACTCCAAATTATTTCAAACTAACCATTCAATAAACAAGTTAATGACATCAAGGTTTTAAAACCAAAGAGAACAGTAAGGAGTTGTTTATATGCCAGGCAATTGAAGAAAGGGGATTTTACAAATTGGTCACTAGATCTAAAAGGTTTCTTCCTCCATTTCTCAATAAACCAATGCCAGGTTGGAATGTGTGTGTGTGTGTGTGTGTGTGTGTGTGTGTGTGTGTGTGTGTGTGTGTGTGTGTGTGTGTGTGTGTGTGTGTGTGTGTGTGTGTGTGTGTGTGTGTGTGTGTGTGTGTGTGTGTGTGTGTGTGTGTGTGTGTGTGTGTGTGTGTGTGTGTGTGTGTGTGTGTGTGTGTGTGTGTGTGTGTGTGTTGCAGAATCTCTAAAAGGTTTCAGAGCTATGTTCTTGGTAATGGCACTTTATGATCTCTGTGGAGTTCAGACGTCTTATCTCCACTTCTCTGACCGTCTTTGTGTGTGTATTCTACTTTTTCATGCAATACCTGACTGAGGTGTGTGCAGCAAAACAACATTATCTGGATCAATGATTGACAGCTCTGTTTCTAATCCTGTTGTAAGGGTGCGTTTTTTTTCATTTAGTACGTGGCAAGGTGAACACGTATGGAACATTCAGTATCAACTGCTTTACATAACAACGTGTATGATAGTTAGAGAGGAATGTGCTGTAGCCTATGACTGTCGGAAGTAGACTTTGTCTAAACGTGTTCTTCTTACAGTACATGGATGTTAGGAAACCCTGTAAAAAACATACAGAGCACAATTTGGGTATTTGGGTATTATCACCGGCTGGCTTACAGGGTAAATCTTGTGCATGAAGGAAACTATACATTTTGAAAGAGTCTAGACCCCAGTTGACTCCCCTTAGCAATGGGCAGAAGAATAATATCACAGAATAGATTGTAATCTAAAACTATTTACATTGCAGACTTGTCCAGACATATTTTACAAGTACTTGCATGAGTTTCTTTTTAAACCTTTTTTTCTTCTTTATTTTCCTCTTTTTTAATTTATTTTCATTGTTTTGGTATAGCGTTTTATTATTTCAGACCTTGTTTAAATCTTACCTCAAACCTGAAGTATTTGTGTGCACGTGTACATACATATGTGTATGTGTGTGTATATGTATAGAAGTTTGTGGGTCTGTTTGAAAAAGCATGTATTTATGTGTATTTGTTAAAATGCCATAATATGTGGTTCCCTCACCAAAACGTAAAGTTGGATGACTCACAGGGTTTTCCCTGTAAACTTTGGTTTCTGCCAAAAACCAAAGCTTGTTTTTTGGTTCCTTGGTTGTCTGTAAAAATATCGAATTGAATTAGTAGTAGCTTATCGATATTATCTGCTACTAAATATGAGCCTTTGTATGATCATATTTCATTGTAAATAATATCATGTTAAACAGGTATACTGTATGGCACTAAATATCAAAAACTAAACTACACCACAGAGAAAACTTACACCTAAAATATTCTAATAACAAATCAGCAGATGTCATCATCATAAAGGAGTCTGAGAGATGTCTGTGCTTTTGCATAAAGGGTCCGCTTTTAAAGTGCATAGTAGTTTTATTACAGTGTATTATTGTCATTACAACCAGCTCTTGAGACATGTTTACAGGCTGTCTCTGTCCCAACATGCCCCAGTCTGCTCACACACATGGATACCTGTGGGCAGTTCTTAGTGAGAGCCAAGTGACTAAAGGAGCGAATCAGTAACTGAATCCTTATGTGACGCATATTTTGAGCTGTGTCCAACTCAAGCAGTTCTATCCTGGAACCAGCCTTCTACGTGACGTGGTTTATGGTCTGCAGCGATGAATAACACTTCCTCAAGGTGCAGTCCCTCATCTTCTGCAGGATAAGGGGGCAGAACTGGTTAGTGAGTGGCTGTGTGACTGTAAAAAGTGTTGACGTAGGTTTGGTCACACATGAAGCTCTGTCATTTTAGGAGCCTTAATTTTAGCGGTGGAATGTCACTAAGTACATTTGCTCAAGTGCTGTCCTTAAGTAAAACATAGTTATAGAGTATTTTAACATCATGCTACTTCATACTTTTACTCCACATTCTGAAGGCAAATGTTGTACTTTTTAGTCCTCTACATTTATTTGTGGTATTTAGTTACAAGCGACTCTGGTATCAAAGGTATCAAATAAGTCCTTATCATATATTATTATAAGTTAAGCAACCCAGTAGTATATAGTGCTTCAAATAAACCTTTACCAAGTGGAACATTGGAAGTGATGAACACATTATTGCATCAATATTTAATAATACAAAATGTTTTATTATATTATTGTATATAAATATATGGTGCTTAAATGGGCCATACTGCATAATGAGTACTTAAAGTACTTTTGTTACTTAAAGTATATTTTGATGCTAATACTTGAATGCAGGACTTGTACTTGTAACTGAGTATTTTTACACTGTCGTATTGCTACTTTTACCTAAGTTAATATTCAGAGTACTTCTTCCACCTCTGATTAAATAACAAGTATGATCCTGCACCTTTAGAGAAAATATCTTAATACACTGAAAATGGCAGCTCATGCAGGGGAAGAGCAAACCCCCCCCTAGAGTCAGGGGAGTGCTACAGAAACGTGAGTTATGTTAGGGACACTGTGTATGCAAATACTGCTGTTGTGGTGCTGCCGGATGTTTCTGTGCTCTGAAGGTGACCAACGGTGCACAGTCTTTTTTGTTGAAAGGTAAACATTTAGGATGGTAACTGCAAATAATATAAATGTATTGAGATAAGTGGGATATATAAAAAGTAGATGTTTTGCTTCTCAGCCTCAACACACTGTAATTTAGCAAAACAGGTAAACAGAAGCTGGCTTATGCTACCCTCTATTGGCTGAACGCTGATACAGGACAAGGGTTAGTAAACTGCTCACTCAGTTCATACAATAGTCACACAGAAGCTACCTTTAACAAATGTTTTCTAGTGACACCAGAATAATGAATATAACACACATGTGTCCTAGCTTAACAGTATATCTAGGCCAGCAAAGTCATACAACCAGGCATGTTGAGACTGTTATGTCTGTGCTCTTGTCCTTCAGCTGTGTGTGTGTGTGTGTGTGTTATCATGTCAGCACCAGCTGGCTGGATGACACCTGCTGGTTTTCAGTGTCCATGACCCTGGAATGGGATATTTTGTCCTTCGTGCAGCGATGACCTCTGACCTGTAATATTTGTTCTGAAGCTGGTGGTCTCTTCTGGCATGAGCATCTCTGTGGCTGACCAACTGGGACTGAAGCTGCTGATGCATGCTGGGTAGCATTGACCATGACGACGGCTCATAAGCAGTTGGGCTGGTGATCTGAAGCTGTCAATGGAGGTGTTGAAAAGGACACTTAAGGGTCTTTTTGATCACACGCTCGTGAACTGTCAGCAGGGGTGCGGTGGGTAGTACACGCTCGTGAACTGTTACCGCCAGAGCCTCGCTGCTGTGGAGCGCATAATTGCGCCGCATTTGCGCATAAGATGAGGCCCCCTGCGCAAAATGAGGCCCCACGCACTCTGCGTCAACTGCGTGTTGGGAGGGGCGGCCCTGCTCAGCGGGACCATTGCTTTTTGGATAGTGCAGACTGATGGTTATATGGGTAAACCCCAGTGTGCTGGCAATGTTTTCAAACTCTCCATTTATACTGAGGGCCATTATCAGACTTAACAGCCTCTGGTATGTCTGGCCAAGGATGCTTTCAGGGTTTGTATCACAGCAGAGGCTGTTGTGATATTCGTTTGGTAAGCTTGAGATGTCTGCTGTAACCGTCTACTGTGACTACATAGTTCTCATTGTTCCATGTGAACAGAACTCTTTTCCATGTCCTGTCTGGGATCTTGTAGGTTATCATGGGATCTTTAGTGTTAAAAGCTCTTTGTTCGTACACTTTCCAATGGTCTGCAGTGTCTTAGCTTTTCTCTCCAACCCAAAGGAGTAGGTCGCTGCCTTTTTTTAATCTTTAGGGTTTTACTTTGTTAAGAAAAAATCTGATCCACATGAAGTTTAATTTTGGGCCATGCTTTGGGTTGCTAGCATCCATATGAAATTAAATAGTAAAATGTTACTATTTCCATGGTCATAGGCACTGCAGCCCTCTACAATTATTCACATCATGTTTCATAAGTGGCCAGTCTGGGCACAATTGTGCTTCCAAAAAAACAACATGTTATAAACATGAAGTGAAATGCAGTGTATGGTTTCAAAAAGACAAAAGACAAAGTTAATTTCTTCTGTAGACATTTAGTCTGCATGTCTTTTTATCATAAAGACTGACCAAAGTTAAACATAACTGGTGGCAGAGTTTACTCTTCTGGCCTCAACAGATACAGAACGTTATTCACCTACAGACAGTTAATATCATTGGAACAGACTGTAACCAAAATGTTGGACACATGAAATGAATGGGAGGCCAAAGAACCAGGCACAAACTTTGCACTAGAAAGAGATATGGGCACGCTGCACAACACAGGGACAGTAGAATGGTTATTTGATCACGAACATCAAGGCAACTTGGATTACTTGCAAGGTAACAATAAGGCACCTTCTTTGACAACTGCTCTACTGATGAGCAGGAATGCCAAGATAATAACACACAATGAACATTCCACTCAACATTTGAACAGTTAATACTTATCTTTCATACATTGTGCTTATGAATATTTGTAACACTGGGTTCACACTAGTGTTAAACCCAAGCGTTTGAGATTTAGTGATATAGCATGTACTGTATGCATACACTGAAAAAACTGAAACCTAGTATGAACTAATATAACTATAATATAAACTGACTTGAACCCAATACAGTTATGTGAAATCCGTTGACATAATACACTTATTGAAAGTCAATGTTTCAGTTTTTTCAGTGTTGTGGAAAATGAATGCATGAGTAGGTAATCCAGTTTAGGAGACACAAATACAAATATCAAAAAAAATACCATGTTATATTGTTACCATTTCATATCAGCAGCAAATCATTTTAAATAAAGAGCCCTTCTTTTCACACTGCAGATCCAGTACATGAAGTCAGATTCTACAGTTGGTAGATAGCATCTCCTCCATTCACAGAGGCATGTTTGGCAATGTCTGATAAAAGGGCAATGTGTCGAGTGAAGGTTGATACTTACTTAGATAAAGTATTTTTCTAATAATTGGGGAGAAAACTCAAATACTATTTCTGTGTTCTAGCATGAAGACAGGTATAAAGGAGGAATAACTGTCTGTGTGTTGAATCCCAACCCTACGGCTTATGGGGATGCAAATATTTAGACATGTTCTATGTGTTCACTTGTTCATTTGGCTATACGTTAACATTTACAATTATATTAACAGACTGGCTTTTATAAATGAGTTTTAACTACAGCATTTAACTCCATCTTCCCTTCAAGCTAGCTGCAAACATCAGCTGATGACCTCCAGTGATGTTTCTGCATGTTTGCATTATTTGTGGCTGATCAGATAAGCAAGATTCTGGTCACAGGCAAACAAACAGGTTTCAACATAACACACCCTGAGGGAGAGTCAATGTAATTCTGATCACCAAAAGTCAAAATGTATGGACTTGAGGGGTGGCAGTACAATTTTAGTCCTGCAAAGAGCACAAATGTGTGTGCAATATCTCTTTAAAGACGGCGTGTGTGTATCCAGACACAGAAACTTGAGCTGTCCAAAGTTGTTCAACTTGTTTTGTGTACATGGAAAAATCTTAGCTCTGTCCCTAACAGAATAACAATTCTAATGACGTAAAATACAAATGATGGTTGACTGTTTTAAACCCAGAACAACTTTGGCAATGAAAAAAAAAGAAAATTAACAATCCAGTCATGGCATGTTTTCATAGGAACATTTGTAAAATGGCTTAGGTCTGAATTACAATAACACATTACTACTTTCACATTCTAGTAGGCAGTTTCTATCCCATATACAATATAGTGAGCACATCCAAAAGCAATACGCCTTGAAAAAGGATGTGACAACACTGTGAGTGGAGCACCCTCAGCTGGTTCTAAAACTGCACAAACGCTAGGTAAGCCTGTTATAGGTATAATAATTGATAGGGACTAATTTGAATATTTTTAGACTTAGGAGATTCAAAAAAAAAATTTCAATTTTTCCAAAAACCTAATTAAGATAACACCCCGTCCCCTTCGACATGTATCACTTCAGAAGACTACACATCATGTTTGCATTAAAACTTCAATAAGATCACATAAACGCTAGTCTAATAACTATTTGTGATTAAACAAAATCTTAAAACTGGACTCAGTGCTATACTGATCTTAGTAAATTGCCACAGTGCAGAACCAAAGGGTTCCTAGGATAGTGCCTTGGGGTACACCTGCCCCCTAGCTGTTGGCGGAGGTCCCAGCAGTGAGCATTGGCAGCTCCCTGCTCCCATGGTGTCTGGATATGGCAGTCACCATCCTTCAGTTGGTCACTAACCCTTTACTTCAGCTCGTCTTCTGTGGTTCAATGTGTAATGTGGGCCAAACTCCACAAACAAACTGAACAAAGATAGGACAAATAATTCAATGACTGAATTAATACAATCATGCAATAAAATAAAAGCTATGATAATTACAAAGGCTTGGGGCTAAACCTACCTTTATATTTGGTCTGTGCTTGAGGTAGGTTGACCTGATCTGCAGGCTAAAAGAAGATGAATATTAGATTTTAAATAAATAAATGAACTAGTTCACTCCAATAAAACTCACAGCTGGAGCTTACCTTAGAAGTATGTGCAGGTAGGATCCAAGGCCAGTGAAGATGTGCCACCAGGCATGGAACTGTGTTGCTACTCCAACACCGGGGGGGAAGTTTCTCTCTACTGGCTCTGAGAGACAGGAAAAACATGAATTGTATCTCCAACTGTATGGAATTCTTCTAAATCCCTATTTAATAAATTGTCTTTATAAAAGTATTTGTATTGATTGTACTTCAATCAAAATCTAAACATCCATTCTGCATTTTGGATAAGAAAATACAGTTAAATTTAAGATTCTTATTTCACAGTAAATAATCTGAGAGATATTCCTGTCCTTGATTAATGTAACGGACTGTTTATGTAAACATTTGCAACCAGTATTATTAAAACTGCTGTCCGAATTCCAAAAAATAAGCAAATGCTTCAATAATAAGAGGAACCTTACTATTGTTCCACGTCTAATACTCACCTTAATGTGTTGCAGAAGATATTGTCGATGTTCCACAGTAGGAACCCTAACAAAAAGACTCCTAAGGAGGTGTAACACAGCGGTCTGAGCCATGGGTACACCCTAACATTGAAACAGAAACCACAAAGAAACCCATTAGCAAGTTATTTCTTACACAGAAGATTGATGAACAATAATTCCTTTGATATATAAATGTTTAACAATGAACGCTCTTGAAAAACATACCATGTAACAATGAAGATAGATCGCATCACTAGGCAAGCTACTAGAGCTCCATACATGACCTGGAAAAAGACACATTTTATTATGTTTGGCCTTGAAACATGGCAACGTCAAATGAACATTCTGTCTCCCAACTATTCATACATTTTGTTACGGCTGGACGGTAGTGATGTTACGTATTGCGCCGAGGCTTCGGAGCGTGTGTCGAGTAATCCCCGAAGCTTTTTGTGAAGCTTGTATCGAGGCTTGTATCGTTTTGGGCCAGTGACGTCACCGATGACAAACGAAGCCTCGCTGCCCCTCAATACCACGTGACTGCTTCAGAAAGTGCTTTAGATCGGTTGAACCACAACGGTCATAATATCCATGGATGTATAATAAGAACGATATTACCCTTCCTGTACCCGGGCCCGGTGACACGATGGAATTAAGAGAGCTCAGACCCTCACTTATATAAAGGTCGGAACATGTCATAAGTATAAATAAATAAAAGCATAAATAAATGTAGGAATAGAAATATGAATAAATACAGGAATAAATAGTATCCAGTGTGTTCAGGTAGATTCAGTGCGTGTGCTGTGGCTCAGCTGGAAAGCAGTTGACTATCAACCTTAGGGTCCCTGGTTCAACGACTGGTCAATACATCTTGATTTTGTTTATAAAAGCTACAGCTAAATGTGATAATGTAGTTAATAAATGTATTCTTTGATATGGTTTAGCCTTTCTCAGGCTACAACATGGTTAAGTTTACGAATATTATTAAGGAATACAAATCCCTCTTTGCAATGTTTACCAGCCTCCTTAGGCTTTTCAATCACAATCATTAAACTGGAATAAAAACAATATTGTTAACATGAAAATATGATTTTATGTTCGTTGTTTAGAGTTATTCTAAGGCTTTACTCATTGGGAACTCGGTATGAGATAGAGCACACTATTGAGATGTCAAATCTGCCTGTTTTATACACTTTGACCAACAGGGGGGTTTGTGTTCAGATGAAGCCCATGATGAAGCCTCATGAGATGAACCAATTTTGCGAACCAATTGGCTGGAAAGCTTCAAAGCTTTATAAGGCTTCATCTCGCCATCACTACTGGACGGCGAGGTATATATAGTAGTGATGGCAGTTTGACACTGAAGCTTCGAACGGAGCTTCAACCCTGGACTTCCTATTCCATAGAAGCAGTGATTCGAAGCTTGCTTCAAATCACGTGACATGGGACGTCCGAACCAGTAACTGCTTCATTTCTTGAATGAATCAACTCACTGGTTCGCCGTCCAATCAGCCGATTCAATGCACTGCCTCGTCTCTATTCTGACAGGTGACAGGTTGAAAACAGTTTCGAATTTGAGCGCTTCAACACTTTATAACCGCTCTAAACAATGCGCAATGTGTGGGTTGTTGTCGTAGTTTGCGTTGTTGCTGTTGAGTTGTTGTTGGTATTGCATTTGAATTGGATCATTATAGAGCAAGCCAGGAAGAAAGATAGGTCGTTCTGGCTCGGGAACACTTCGAAATGTGGAGAACTTGTGAACAAAAAGACAATTATGACTAATATAAAAACAGTTCAATAGTTTAAGGAATAGATAGCCCAGTGGATAGAGCCAGTGGCCCGAATACGGTGATGTCCTCCGCGCAGCTGGTTCAAAGCCCGGAATGGGTGAACTTTTAATCATTGCTTTTCAACTTTAATACTTTAATAACTGATAAAAGGCCCTCTCCGCCCTAAATTTTTTCCAGCACTCTCTAGTCTCTTCTCAATAACCCAATACACACAATTATCAATCTTTAATTGCAAATAGAACATGATATTTAGTCTTAGTGTGTGTGTGCATCGAATATTTTTCAAGGCAAAGATACGTTAAACCCACTGCAGCCTTGCACTTCGCCAGGAGAGGTCGCTGTAACTGAAGCTTCGGGAAATGAACCTATTTCCGACACAATTGTCCAAGTGGTTCGATGCTTCATTCAAAGCTTCATTTTGCCATCACTAATATATAGGACCCAAATGCAGCAACCCATTGGTTGAATCAAACTCCTTTATTTATGGAAAGGCCAGGCCAACAAAGTAAAGCAAGGCAAAACACAAACTCGTACGAACCAAAATCCATCCAACAACGTCAAGAATCTTACAAAGACTAACAGAAAAAGCAGAACCTAAATGCACACAGGACTAATCAAACAAACAAGACACAGGTGAGGAGGGAGGAGAAAACACAGGGGTACAAGGTGAACACAATCGGGTAATCAGGCAGGAGGGAACACAGAGACAGGAAGCAACAGACAAGACGGGGGGGGGGGGGGGGGTGAACACTTTTCAAACTAAAACAGGAAAACAAAGACAGATCTAGACAGGACAAAATAAAACATAGACAGATCGTGACACATTTTATATGACTGAGCTCTGGTGGGAACCCATTGCTGAATTCCAGGCAGCCAATGTACATTGATATTATTGATAACATAAACTTTTAACACAGTCCTCTAGCATAACCCTTTCTGATAGAGTGCTGCAGTAATGATGTATTTCTGTAGGCCGACACGGTGGTAAGCATCACAAGGGCTCCCTTAAAAAATAGTTTTCCATTGATGTAAAAAGATAACGTTAGGCTTTAAACTAACTACATTACGGTCACATGACTTTACGTCACCACCACCAAGCTAAAAGCGGCTGATATTCGCTGTGATGACTTTAGTAGTCTCATTTAGCCACTTGTTAGCAACCGCCGTTTTTTAACACAGGACAGTTTAGATGTTCACCAGTGGAGTCTTTACTGACATATCGTATGTTGTAGAATAAAAGATGAGAATCTCTTAAGCTTGTGTTAACCACAGGTCTAACCAAAAACACTCTCAAAAACCGTTAACTTCGAGACGAGGGAACCGGATGTGGAAAAGTACTAACCCATTTTCCAAATTTGAGGACTCAATGCTGCACCTCTCTATACAAGCATTGTTGTCTCTCAAATGTGGTTCAGCCAAACAGTTTTGTTTCCTTGAGTGTAATGAGCATATACAGCCAGTCATCAGTCAGAGCCCTTATTGGAGCTATTGATTTTTTTGACACATATCCACATACATGAGGAAACCATTCCAAAATAAGTACATGCAGTCAGCACAATTTATATTTAAAGGAAGTAGGAAGCTAAAGTCCCCATTATCAGTCGGGCTCTAAACCACCATAAAGCAGTGTGATTAGTAAACAAAGGCTGCTCTGTCACATTGTCCTTTAACAGACATGGCTGTGTGTTGAGTTTAGGGCATTGTATTTGGGTTAATAGCTACACCTTAACTGTAAAAAGATAAATACAGGGTTTCTGCTGGGCCTAGGTACACTCCCAACCAGAGATGGGGTCGTTACTAAAAAAATATATTACATATTACTTTAAAAAAAAAGTAATATATTACACTACTTCGTTACTCTCTACATAAAGTAACTCGTTACTTTACTCGTTACTTTACTCGCAGGGCCGGCCCGCCCCTCCCTACAGGCAGATCACGCAGACTGCTAAAGTTTCAAATGTTCTCTTTAGTTCAGTTTCCATTGTCGCATAAGACTGATCCAGATAGCTCTGACCATGGCTGTCCTCTGTCTCCTGCTATCTGTATTTTGCGCAGTATATCTCTGAACGATGCGATGGTGATTCCACTGTGCAAATGGGCAACATTTCCTCTACTATGAAGGATGCTACAAGCCTGTCCATCTCTGCTTTGGTTACCGGTCCTCCAAATTCTAATTTGTGCTGCTTCGGAGTCGGCGGCGGCGCACTCACAACATCCTCACTCTGGGTTCGGGGGTCCTTAGCTATTAGCTTCACCTTAGCATGTGTTCTTTGCAGGTGTTTGTTGAGGTTTGACGTGGTGTTTACAGCAGTGGATAACAGCTTCTGGCCTGGACACAGTTTGCACCTCACCGTCACATTCCTGTCTATTCTTCGGACGAACTCAAAATAATGGGCATACCTCCACCCCTCGAAAGTTATCGCTGACTCAGCCATGTTTATGCAGCACTGCACGTGGAGATGTGGACGCGCAAGTCGCGCAGATTACGTACATATAAACCTGCAGCGGAAACCCCTCTTGTCTGTCAGTGTGATTATGACTGATTTTATAAAAGTAACGAAGTAACGCGTGTCGGGGCAATGTTAGTAACTGTAGTGTGATTACTGAATTATAAAAGTAACGCGTTACACTACTCCGTTACCGACAAAAGTAATATTATTACAGTAACGCGTTACTTTGTAACGCGTTACTGTAATAATAATATATATGTTACACCCAACTCTGCTCCCAACCATGGAGTATTAGATGTTTTTTTATTTTTAAGTGTAAGAAGACAAAGAAAAGTGTAAAAAGTGTTAAAACTTTAAAATATATATTTGAGTTTTAGGTGCAAACTCCATTTAAAATCCTGTATGTTGTATTTTGAATCGTTTTGCATAATGTCTTTGGTATGAAATACTACTTTGTGTTTAACGTCCAACATGCACTAAGTGTTTTTGTGCTGAGTTGGCAAGCCCAATGTTTACTTAAGGTTGACTTGACTTCAGGCTCGCTGCACCCAAACAGCAAACAATGAGAGATCTGATACAGTTGAGCAAGAAACAAAGTAAAACCTTACCTGGTGAAAGACTGGCTCCTTCCACTGTAAGTACACCTGCAGGAGGAAATACAGGAAATACTCAAAATAAATGATGGATATTGTGTTTTATGTATGTTATGGTTCAAACTTAATCAGTGTAAAAGTGAAAGTGGATACTCACCAATGTGACTGAGACACTGAAGATTATTAACAATGCTATGGGGAATAAACTGATGGTGTTTTCTTGTTTGAAACACTCGTATCTAAAAAAAAGAAAAAGGTGTTTATTTTACATGTTCAGTTTTAGGAACAATAAAGGAAAAAAAAGATACAATGAAAGGATGCATGTGTAACACATTTTTCTAAGTGGAGAGAATATCTCCACACCCTACAATCAATGAATTGATCAATTGATTTGCCACATGAAGTCCCAACTTCAGTGAAATGAATCATCTGCTCTGGCAGATCAGCACACAGAAAAAGAAAGCTGAACGGCAGCATCCATTGAAATCAACAATAATCGCAGTGCCTGATATCTCCAAAAGAGACGCAGCCGCCAACGCCATCCAGCCTGTTATCTAACAGCAACACATTGGCTGAAAGGATTCAAGGCCGGTGTCCAAATCCTTCGCACTATTTTTAGATTTTGAAGGCACACAGTTAAAAAAGGGGGATTTTCAGTCTATGACAGAAAATAGAGTAGACTATCTGCTGTTAAAGGAGGGCAAGGTGAGTTGCCCTGGAGAAAATGTTTAGCTTTGCTACAGCGGTAGGCAATCCTCTACATTCTCTGGGTGCAGCTTCCATTGTCCAGGTAGGACTCCCCCTCTGGATGTCTGACTATCTCCTTCCGTTTAATCAATCAACATAGATCTAGAATCAGTTAAGAATCATGTGTCCTTTACCATATAGAATGCTTCACAGTCACTTGAAAAAGACACCCTGTACTTTCTTGTAGTGGATCAAGTGATGGATGAGTGATTCACTAGTTCACTTTACAATCACAACAAATATTTTCTCAGTCAACGTCGTTAGTAATTAAACAGCAATTCATCTAAAAGGTTGAGCCACTTACAGGCAGTAGATAAAGACGCATGTACTGTAGATCATTGGCAACTCATCCAGTAACTGCAAATCAGAACACAAAGAAAACACATACTGTATCAGTACATTTATAAGATTGCAGTCTTTCATTAAGACATTGCAATAGGCAGCAAATATTTCCATTTCATTGTGAGTCTGATTCATGCATGTTCATCAAATTGAGATAATTGTATGTACTTTTGCTGATATATTAACAATTTAATGTTTTACTGTAGCCCACCTGCATCTCATATAGCAGCGTCATGTGGAAGCACCAGGAACCAACGCCAACAGCTGGACAATGGACAGACAACCCCATAAAACATTAAAACTGAAAGTCAGGACATTCTTAAACAATGTGATTAATGAGATCAGAAGAACACCCGGACAGTCTGTTCTCAATAGCTACGATATGTAAACAAGAGGTGTGTTTGCTAATGCAGAGCCGGGTAATTTGTGGTTTCAACAGACTTACCTGCCAGTCCGAGGAAAGAGCAGACGTAGCGAAATTCGAGGCCGTCTCGAAACGTCTGGATGGCCCCGTAAATGGGAGGAAGGATCATAATCAGGTTGCTGACAGTGTTCCCTGTTCAACAAGACACCAGAGACAAGTTAGATCCAGGCGACACAACCCTGTATACGACATTTGAATACCTCTGAATGACCTCTGATGGGTGATTGGGTGACATGAGGGACCTGAGAGGGAGACAGGCTGGGTTACATGTAGTGTAACAAGTTTGCAAACTGCAACTACGATTGCTGTTGCATTTTGTATTATTTAGGTTTGCATTGTTTAAAGTGGACCTATCATGCTATATTTGAATAATATAGTGTAGGACCATACCTATATAAGGCATATTTATACTTTTTTTTTTTCAAAATACCAAACAGATCATGCATTTTAGCCATGCCTCATTTCGCTCAATTTGCACTTTTTTATCCCTGTTTTTGCAAGGGCTGATTCTGTGAGAACAGCACCACCTACAGGCCTGGCATATGTACTACAGCGTCTCCAGCGCTTTCGAACGGCAATGGCCGTGGCTGTCTCCCCCTGATTGGTGGAGTTGGCCCAATAGCCGTAGCGCCACTGTCCTGACGTCAGGACAGTGTTCAAATCTGGATCAGTTTTTATCAGATCCGTTGCAGCCCCTTTTATAGAGATTTGGGTATGGAGGAAAATAGAGAGGGTTGTGTTTTCTGACTCTTGGTGAGTTCCCTGGAACACCGGGGACACATATTCATGTATAAAAGACGTACAAAAGTGCATTTTGCATGATAGGTCCCCTTTAAGTAATTAGTCATGTAAACAATTAAAATGATAGGCAATTTTTTTAAACAGATGTTACAAAGTGCTTAATAGCAGAACAATTAAGTAAAAGTATATTAAATAATGTAACTATTAAATAAAAACATCACAGACCATATCAATAATAAAAGTTATTTGGAGTTATTTAAAACAAATATAATCTTTTACATACAAAAGAAAGTTATAATAAAGGTTGTATATATTGTTCGCTGTCAAAACATAAATAGAAATAACAATAACAACAAAATAAATGAAAAACAAATCATCAGTATCGACTAACAGCCTCTTTGTTATTTTTAACGGCCCATTTTACAACAGGTGTATCATTACTTACAATAGTTGATTTTTGAGGTTTGTATAGGTGAGCACAGGTCTTCATGATTTAATATAACCCCCATCATTCAAACCCTAGCTATTGGTTGACATAGAAAGCGTTTCACAAATCTTAAATTGCTATTTTTCATGGCCTAAGTACATTAAATAGTTTTGGGGAGTTGGCATGTTCTGTTATCGCCCATACAGTATGTGCTATATTTAGCCCTACTCCTTCGGCTGGTTTTTCCTTGTTTTCTATTATTCGTCATTCACTGTTTTATATTTATACCCACACTGACTCCCACCGTAATTAACATGTTCTTTTTTAAATTGTGAGTTTGAGTCTTACAGCCTCAAAGAAAGAAGGTTCTGGGTGGTAACTCACCAATGCGCTTTGGCCTTTCTATGAGAGGGGTGTGGGTTTTCTCTTGGTGCTCTTACAGTAGATTTTAATTTGGAATTGAATGACTGTCGGTGTGTTTCAGCCCTGGGATTCAATGTTTACCCTGCCTCTCCGGATAGATGGATGAATATTATTGGTGGACTGGGACATTGGGTTGGAAAACATTTGATGATGTAACCTTGGGCTCTCGGACATTGTGATTTTTCCTTGTTGAATTTGCTTCAAGTTTTACAGACTTAGCAATAAATAAATAAGGGTGAAAACAATTGGCATATAAATCATTAATCAACAATTGTTAGTTGTGTCTCTTATTGTTTTACAATGTGTATGCACTCTGTGTATTGCATTGTTGAACAGAGTATTAATTAGGCCCATTTGTGTCCGAGTGTGACAGGTTTATCAGCTTATTATACAGCTGATAAACCTGGGGCGGGAAGTGAAAAAGGCTTTAAGGATGTTGTTGGAAACTGTACTGTGATTGTGTGAGCAAATCTCATCACGCCAGGCCCTTGCTGTGTTTTTACTAAACTATGAGTACTTATCAGGCCCACAGAGAACCTGATAAAACAAATGGTCAACATTGATCCTGACGTTGCTCTATTGGGTGTGGCGATATATAAACTAAGGTGTGTAAAACAATCAGGCCTACCAGGACATAAAGTCATTTGAAAACTAATACTGAATGTCCTGGTATTTTGACACTTTTTGCTTAGTCTGCAGGTGTCTGATAAAGGCTGAGACCTTGGAGGGGCTGTTAAAAAATGTGTGGACTTTGTTTACTGATAGTTAAAGGTGGGGTAGGTAATTTTGGAGAAACCAGCTAGAGTGCGCTAGAATTTGAAAATACACAGCCGGAAAAAATCTGCCACTTCCTTACAGAGCCCCTCCTCCAACACACACGAACGCGCACATGACCAATGAGGGCACGAGATAAGTTTGTGCACAGATGGAAGGCTGACAGGCAGGTAGGCCATCCAGTTATTTTAGCCGAGCCGGCTAAAATGATTGGTCGTGCTTTTTACAGTACTACGGCTTCCACAGATGAAATTTTTTATGGATTTTTGGCAAAGCACTTAAGATATTCATTGCTATCGGGATGTTAAGAGCATTCCATGGAATATAACAAAAAGTGTATCTCGAGCCGGTTTCTCAAACTTACCTACCCCACCTTTAATGAAAACATGCCAAGAATACTACAGCATGTGAATGTTTTCTTTTTCTTATTCCAATGAAAACTACAAACATCTGATAATGCTGAGAGACTCTTTTCTGCCTCCCCCTGTCTCTTTCTCCCGTCACCATGCCCTATTGTTTCAATGTTTTTTCTTTGTAACCTGAATCAACGTTTAAATGCCAAACAATACCTAGCGACGGGAACAACTATCTAGCGAGGCAGCGTGTCTTTAGTGCAAACAAAATCTTCAACTGTCAGTATCCTTAACATGTGACATTTACATCAGCGCCAATGTTAAAAAATCTTTCAATGATATTAATTTATAAAGTATACTGAATGCTGTAAGGCTACTCTACTACCAGACTAGTGCCTCCAAGTAGCACTTGTAATAAATGAAGTGTCTACAAACGAAGGTCTCTTGCTGACTGTGGACAACTACACTGAAGATGAGGCATTCAATGATATGACTCAACTCTGACCCACTTTGCTTCAGTTTACCTTGGACTATCTGCTGCATCAGTAGGCTAGTACCTTTAACCTCATTGATAATAAGATCATAATAACTGGAAGGTCCCTAACACACAGTAAAAAGGGATCACAAAAGAGAATAATAGGAATGCCTAGTTCACTTCCAAGACTAGAAATTGTCTGCACAATAGAGAGTATATGTTTCAGTAGGAGTATTTGTCCAATGTAGTTTGGTTAATGCTTTTGAAAGAAATCATGCTAGAAAAATCTATGTGTCAAAAGTCCAGCTGACATGGTGTTTTTTTTAACAGTATTACACTAACAACGTTTAAATCTCAGATAACGGATCCTGCAGAACCAGTTTAAGCCCTGATAGCATTGAGGGAATATGTTATCACGTTTCATTTGTTGCATTGTGAATGCACTGTAAAGGGAAACGTTCAAGAGCACGCTCAATAGTGGACTGAAATACTACAAATCACTCCAAGCGTGGAATATAGTGAAACTGTGGTGTCTGGTGTCATACCGTTTGCTTGAACACTCACATGCAGTAAAAGCTGTGCCAAACAGCTCCACTCAGAACAGTTGGACTGTATATCGGCGACTGAAAGCTTTGATTTTTCCTCATTAAGTTTTATAATGCCATAAGAGCTAGCTAACATTTAGCTTAAACTAATATCCGCCGAGCTTACACCATAACACCAGCCGCTGCTCCCGCTTCTTGTTTACGTTATCGAGGGGAGACTGTACGTACACCACACATGATGGCCGTCCTTCACCAAAGACTCTTTAAACGAACCCTAACAATCACCAATTTCAGTAATATGACGCATTTCTTTTTACTTACAGAATTCCGCAATGTAAAAGGTAGCGACATAATTTTCTTCGCACCAGTCCAGCGTTGAGGTCGGCTGCCCCCAGTATCCGTGCCTGTCTGCGGAGGGAGCCATGATGGAAGAGGAGGAGGCTGCAGTGCGCTGCTAACGGATCTGTGGTGTCATCACAGCCGGAGCACAGCCACCCTGCCCCGGCACGGCGATGGATGGCAGATAACAGTCCAGCAGCGTGTTCCAGATAACAGCAGAGGCAGCCTTTACATCGTCACCTACTGCCTGTGTAGTATCTGCCAGCTCATAGAGTCCTATTATTGTGACCCCGGAAATGTTGATTACCTCTGTTTAAATGCAGTACGGGAAACTTAAGTAACAAAGTACATTCACTGAAGTAGGCTACTGTACTACTCAAGAACACATTTCGACGTACTTTAGTATTTCCATTGAATGCTAATACTTTTACTCCACTACATTTAAAAGGGAATAGGCCTAATGTCATTTTACTACATTTATTAAACAGCTTTAGTCAAACTTTTACCATAATGCATTTCTAAAAATCAAACTACTGGACTTAAGGGCCTACTTGGAGAATTATACAATAGGCCTACAGTATATGGGCCATTCCACCGAATTGGTGCAATTATTTGAAACTTAAGTGGTAGTAAACTTGTCCACCCTCAATTGCTGGTAGGCCTATACAAAATACCAGTAGTGCAGCTGTTGTCATGTTCTTCACAGATCCCTCACAAATGAATTGAGCAGTGACTGCGCCAGGGGCTGGGGTAGGCTACAGCCATACCAAGAAATGGCTTAGCCCCACCATGAAAAATGATGTTAAAGTAAGCTAAATAAAGTCCGCCAACTCGCGAGGAGTAAATTGCACAGACAGCAGTTAGTAAGATTGATTTCAGTAGCCACTTGTCTGGAAATAACGAAGACTAGAAACGGTTTTGAAAACTTTTGTCACGTAGTGATCGTCTTCTCAATGAAACATCTTTGATAATGTCTTCTGGCCAATCAGAATCACGATAACGGCGTGGTGTTGTTGCAGGAAGTCCCGACGGAGAATACTTTTGCTGTAGTACATCTCTATATAGGCTACATCGATACAACATTACGTGTTGATAGAAATCAACACGTAATGAAATAAGACCCCACGGTTTGATGATTGATAGGTGTGTGGGCTGTCTTTCATTTTGACACACAGAACAATGGGGGCTATCCACCCTTTTCCACAATGTAAAGTAATTCACACAGCCTCTTCCCTCTTCTCTCTGTGAGGAGCAGCAGGTTCAGCTTTCAGAACAAAGTAACAAAAAACAAAAATGGCATTCATTTTTTTAAATATGTAGTAATAGATTTATTTATTTTTCTTCTCAAGAGAGTACCAGAATGTGTATTTTATGTTAGTATTTTAAAAAATCTCCTGGGGGAGAATCCCCCCCCAGACCCCCCTGCAGGGGTTGGGTTTTCAGCATGTCAACTCTTTCACCTGTGGGGAAATTGCAGGATTGGCTCCAGGTCGCCCTTTTTATTTACTACAAGACAAATGTGCCTTTTTATTTACTACAAGACAAATGTGCCTTTTTATTTCATACAGTTCAATTTGGATTGAGACAGGGAAATAATCTAAACCTCACGCGTGGCGTTTCACTGTCAAGGGGGGCGATATAGCGTGTATGTAATTACATTGCTAATACTGACTTGAGCCCCACCACTGTATGGGTTAGCCCTACCATAGATTACCCAACAAAAATACTCTGGAGCCGCCACTGTGAGTTTTCTTGACCTTTGTGCTGATCCCCACCATAGATCCATTGGCCCTTCAGCATTGAAGTCTTGGATTGGCCAGACTAATACATTTCTAATGTTAAATAAATGAAAACCATTCACAGTTAAGAATTAGATATTAATTATTAATGCTGTAAATTACCTTTAATATGTCTGACTATATTTAAAATGTGTTACCTTTTTATAAAAGTGATTATATTTTTATGCCAATATTTTCTATGGTAAAGTTTCGTTTTGCACTTTTATTTTGGTAGTAATAAGATCGGGACTCTTATTTTGAAGGAACTTTTACCGGAGGTGGATGGACAACGGAGCAGAATGTTTCGCCTCCCAACACTTTACCCATTTCCTCTTTGCTTTTCGTTCGGGTTCACCTTGCGCTCTATCAGTTGAATCACTTTGAACATTCGTTTGAGATGTTGACTGGTTGGCCGAACTTTTTACCCCACTGTCAAACAACTTAAATTGCTTCGCCATTTTTTGTAAAACAAACACACGGCGCACCCATGGATGTATAATAAGAACTGGATACAGCGTGGGAGGCGGGGCCTCATTATGAGAGAACCGCAGTCCTAAAACCCGGAAGTAAGTTAGCATTTTTACCACGTCCGGTTCCTTCGACAAAAAGCAATGCAATTTCTCCATAGGATTTTGGAAAATAGCTCGAAATAAGGTCTGTGTTTGACACAAATTGAAGAGACAGATCACGTTTTGTTCTACGACATTAAATACATCAGCAGTGACCCCGCTGGTGATTTTTGAAGAGTTTACGTGTCTGAAAAACGATGGTTGTTAACATGTGGCTGAATAGGACTACAGAAGTTGTCCAGGCCGTTTTACGTCATTACACCGAACACGTAAAACACTCCCGCTAAGTTTGTTTGCCCTGTTCTGCTTGAAAGCAAGTACCTGCCTCCTGCAAACTGTATTGTACCATTTATAATCTGTATGTTTGAATATGGATCTTAAGTTGGCGTGACGTTGAAGCAGCGACCCTGCTGTAGTTCGTTTATAGCATAACGTTAGCATTTTGCTTCTGGCGACTAGATTTATGATTAGAAAATGATAAAAGTAGGGCTGAACAAAACGTGATCCGTCTCTTAAATGTGTGTCAACCACAGACCTTATTTCGAGCTATTTTCCAAAATCCTATGGAGAAATTGCATTGGAACCGGAAGGAGTTTACTTCCGGGTTTTAGGACGCGTCACTGCGGTTCTCTATTAGGTGTGAATGCACCCTTAGACACTGCAACCTTTTTTATGAAAGTTTGTTAATGCAGCATCACTTTTCACATTTAAAGGGGACCTATCATGCAAAATGCACTTTTGTACGTCTTTTATACATGAATATGTGTCCCCGGTGTTCCAGGGAACTCACTAATGGCGTATTTCCACCATGGCGCGGAGCGCGCTTTAAGCGTGCCGTGTCGTGCCCGTTTTTGGTTGCGCTTCCACTAGGCCTAGTTACGGCCCGGCCCGGCCCGGGGCCACTTTTTCACCTCTTTGTTGGCCAGACAAAATTGTGGTTCTATCGGGGCCAACAAACAGGGCTGAGTCGGGCTGAGTATGCTAAACTAGAGAGAGGATCGCTGGCAAGGGGGCTACAACTACAACAAGATGGACATATTTGACCGTGATTTAATTGTAATACACGTTTCAAAATGATGCCGAAGTAACAACATACTGATACCGGTTAGTAAAAACCATGAATTAATGCTTTGGCAAGTTTGCAGACAGACGGCAGGCGAAAAACCTTTTAAAATGCGTGTTTTCTAGATGGAGATTGGCTAAGCTAACGCAGTATATGCTCCGACCGTCCACACTCACAACAACGGCCTATACAGACATAAATAAAGCAGCGACTGTATTCACCATGACACAGGCAGTCTGTGGTGTGTACTTGTTTAACTTTTGTCGAGTTTCTGAACATATATAAGGAGCTGTGAGCTCTGAGTGCTAACAGCTAACGGCTGTGTTGTTTTTTCTGGGGTTCTCGTTGAAGATGACGTCACGGCTCCGCCTACACTGCGTTACTATAGTAACTACCCCAGTTCCTAAACTGTAATGGAAGCGCAGCATGAAGTGAGTCGGCCCTGTTAAGGCCCAACGCAGCCAAGCCGTACCGTGCCGTACCGAGCGTGGCCGAGGCCGACTGTGTGGTGGAAATGCGCCACAAGTGTCAGAAAATACAACCCTCTCTATTTTCCTCCATACCCAAATCTCTAAAAAAGGGGCTGCAACGGATCTGATAAAAACTGATCCAGATTTGAACACTGTCCTGACGTCAGGACGGTGGCGCTACGGCTATTGGGCCAACTCTCCACCTATCAGGGGAATGTGGGGTTGGGCCACGGCCGGCCATTGCCGCTCGAAAGCGCTGGAGACGCTGTAGTACATATGCCAGGCCTGTAAGTGGCGCTGTAGTCTGCCACAAAAGTAGCGAAGAAGACTTCCCGCCCATAGTTACCATGGTTACCCTTCTGTTTATTCTCCGCTGTGGCTTTTTTTCTCCCTCCCCGAGGCAAGCGTTTGCTCCCGCTGCTTTAATTCAATGGAATCCCTCCCCGTCGAGGCAAGCACTGTAATTATCTCCGGTTAGTCCACCAGCAGATGACAAACACCCACCTCTCCGCCTCTTCCAAGGAACGAGGGGACCGTTTTCTTTCGCCGGTCAAGATGTCCGTTAAAGTTTAAATCTTCCGGACAAAATTAGAAAAGTGCCGGTCAAAGGTCTTCTTTGTTATTTATTGAGCTTTAAAACAAATGAATAACGACTCTATATAATAATAGGCTATAATAAACACGGAGGACGGAGATCTATTTTTCTCCCCCTCTTCTGACTTGATCAGAGCGGCTCCCCTCTCCTGCAGGGGGGCGTGGTCAGCTGCAGCTCACAGAATCAGCCCCCTGCAAAAACAGGGCTGGAGAACAGCAAATAGAGCGAAATGAGGCATGGCTAAAATGCATGATCTGTTTGGTATTTTGAAAACAGAAACTTATAAATATACCTTATATAGGTATGGCCCTATATATCATTTAAATATAGCATGATAGGTCCACTTTAACTTGTTTTAATTGTTCAGCATTTTTTAGTATGTTTTGCTGATATACTACGCTAAAGTTTAGCCTGGTATCTGGTTTCTTTGTTGAGATCAGGACCTCAGGATTTCCACTCATCTGTGAGAGCCCATTATTTTCTTTTAAAACTCTTTGTTCTGCAGGTCAGAGTGTGAAATACTCAGTAGCCATCTTGATCCGGCCTCATGTCAAACAAACACATGGCATTCGCCATTTAGTGAAATGCAAATTCAAAAGACTCTTTTGTTTTCCCTTGTTGAGGCCTATTCATTATTCCTGACCTCCATCTGGTGAAGAACAAATCATTTTTCTTGTGTCACAGTTGGAATTATAAAAGAGTTCATTTTGCTAAATCAGTTTATATATATTGTAGAACTTGGTGGTTGTAAAGAAGGATTATTGTATTTTTTACTGTGCAGTGTTGACAAAGAGATATTGAATTTTTGAGCTTTCCAAATGCATTGTTGACGTATTTGTGCGTGTTTATACTTTATAGTTTAACCATATTGTAATTTTCCTTCCCATTTCAAAGGTATTTTTAAGAAAGATAAGCTTCTTCTTGTTACATAGAAGTCAGTTTTACAACAGCTACCTCTGGTGGAAGAAGCTGAAAACAGCGCACTCTGCTGGTTGTACAGAATTGTTGCACAAGACAGGAGTAAAAATGTATAAATACAACACACATAAACATTTTTTAGACAGAATTACAATTATATGCTGAAGCTTAATTTCAAGTGTTATAGATGAACACATACTTCATCACACACAGATAGAATTACAGGTGGTTCCTGATTTTAAAATAACAAACCACACATAATAGTCGTTCAACCTAGACTGTAGAATATTCAAACACCATTTTATTGAAGTTAACAC